AATCGAAAGTGCGCATCATTCCACCTATCTCTATTTTTCCTATCTCTGTTCTTTTCAAGGCACTTCATTATGATGACTGGCCAAGGCTAATCAGCATTCGTCCTTTCAGTCTTATTAAATATTGATTTTCTTGCAGTTCTTCTAGTCTTTTACTCAGTACTCAATCAAATGAAATTGAGAAGTTTTTAAAAAAACTTCAAGTTATTAATCTCTTATCATTTTAAGCAATTAGGAACTTATCGGATTTTAATCGGATTCCCCTTTGATTCCCCTTGTTCGCTACTTTTCTCTTGGTGGAGAGCTCTTAAACGAAAAAATTCACGGAAGATTTTCTCCTAATTATATACTTTCATTCGCTATGCGACTCTGCAGTTTAATTCAAGAATTATTTAGCATTCAATAGTAAAGTTGAAATTTATTCGTGAATTTTAGTTATTCTTCGAAATCTATTTATAAATGTGGTTTTCAAAGGAGAAACATAAGAAAATCTGGTTTTCGTTTGATGAAAACCATTATTTAAAGGCGATAAATTTGTTATTGAAGTGGTTATTTCAAATATGTATAAATATATAAATATTTTTTCCTATAGAGGATTATTTTTGAAATAAGGAAACATTCCCGTGCATCCTGAAACAACAAGACTAATTGTTACATGTTTTTTTACATGAATTTTTTAGGATAATCTGCAAATTGGTTGTCAACTAAATATGGTACCACACAAGTTTTGTATGATCATATAGCAAGATGAAGCATCGATTTCCGAGTAAGATTAGCCATTTAATCAGTTTAATGCCATAATCCTCACTACCATCGAAAATGGGCTTAGTTAATATATTCAGACTGAAGGGAAATCGAAGTAGGGTCGACAGCGAAATTACGAAAGCTTAGCATATTTATTTTGAAGGGAGAGTGATTGATTCGTTTATTATCTTTGATTTTGGGATATTTCTTCCTATTTAACCGTTGACTGGCGAAATTAAATCTATCTATGTTCGCCATCGCTATCCGTTCATTCATGAGCCATTTTTTTTCAAAAATTTTCGAAACATTCATCAATATATATTTAAGTAAAATCGATTATTCTCAGCTTTAGTCCTATAATTTGCCCTTTTTATTTCACAGATCGCAATTCAATTTATTGGTAAGTAAGGGGGCCATTTTGAATTTTAAAATCCTTTAGTTTTAATACATAAAAATTTATAAATTTATGAAATTTGAAAAAACTAATTCGTCGATTATAAATTATTAATCAATAGCAAAAATTAATTTTTATCTCGTTGTGAAAGATGATAAACAAGATTAATTGATGAGATTTTCTTGGATCTACTAAAATTGTCGTTGCTGGCTAATTTCACTGGCTACTGGCAAAGTGCCGGGACACCTTGGGAAAGGAGTAATTACATGGTCCCTCCTATCATCCGAAAAAGCGACAGGCTTATTTTTTTCAAAGAATTGGACCTATGACAGCTTCATTTTAATGGAAATAATCGCTGGACCATTCCGCCTCAGATATTTAGATAGAAGAATGCTCGATTGAAATGCCCGAAGCTAGGAAGTAATGTAAATTAAATTATGTTTCCTTGATTGCATATGGCGCACAACGTGGGATTAACAAGTTACAGAGTTTTTTAAACTGTTTTAATATTTTTTAGAATTTTATATTATCTCTATTTTAATTTTCTATTCATTTCCTGCGTAATTTTCTCATTTTTCTTGGCCTTTCTGTTTATTTTGCTATAATTTTTCTATTTTTTGTTTCTATAGCGATTGTCCTTTTTTTTTTTTAATTGCTTCCTTTCAGTTATAATTCGGAATTTTTCGAAAAATGATTGATATCTCGTTGAAAACCAATTTCGCTTCATATTTGTTGTTGTCAGTTTTTTATTTTTAATAAGAATTTAAATTAAACTGTTGTTCGCGATTTTTCTCACCTGAAATTTGATAATAAATAATTTTATAATTTTCGCGATTGCAAATAAATATAATAATAAAATTATCATTCTTATAAGTAAATCAGTTATTTTTCATAATTTATAAAATTACTGGAATTCTTAACTGATCGTTGCAATTATTATATTGCGATTATGATGCTATAATTAATTATTGATAAACCGAAATTAATGATTATTATTGAATTGTTGACTATTGGCTTATCAGTTGTCAATTATCATTGGTTAAATGAATGATTTCTTCGTTTTCCTGCTCATTTTAAAAAATATAAAAACTTTTCACGTTTAAAAGATTCTTTGAACTGACATTTAAGCAAGCGTTAAGTCAAGTTTATAAATATTGAACAGATAAATAAATTTGAAAAGAAAGATTCACTAGAATTTACTCAATTTGTTAGACGAACTTAAAATTATTAATTCTATTGGTGAATATATTTTCCTATATATTATATTGTCATAAATTATTATTGTTCTATAAATTATTAAAATATATGAATAATATAAATTATTATTGAATTATTATTATGAACTCCTTTTTTTGGCGCTTAAAATTTATGATTACAGAATTTCCCACTGAGTTTCATAGATCTTTCACATAACTCATTTCATTTCATTTTGTAACTTTTATAAAACTTGTCATCGTACAGATCCATAATTTTGCAGCGTTTGCAAATAATTTATGAACGAGTAGTCCTCGTTGTTTCAAGGTATTTGCTAGCATTATGAAATTATTTCCAAACGGTATGGAAATATGTGAAAACGGTTTTGTGAATGTATGAATCTCTTTGCTCTTCTAGAATTGCTCGTTCCACTGGTGATTGAGGTAAGATTCCGTGTCTCCTGATCCGATGCCACTTCCACTTTTGAAAGCCACTTTTTTCCCACCGTCTAATCTTGTCGTTCGCTGGCCTATGCGTTCAAAATCATCCCTGCCCGTATCGATCCATGTCTTGATTGGCTCTACTCGCTTTTTATGCCATCCATCGCAAGAAATTTCTGTATGAAATTGGCAAATTCTATTTTATGATCATTTCGCTATTTATCATTGTTTTTAAATAAAATAATTTAAAAATTCTATATCGAAGCCAGTTGATAACGCTGAAGATAAAAACGAAAACTGATGCAAATTTTGGTAATTTTTATGCATTTTTATAGTTTAAGGAAATCTTCATTTCTTTGCGAGTGAATTATCATGAAAGAAATGAAAAAAATAATTTTATTATTGGTAACATATATCATCTAATAATTTTATATGCGTGTTGCCTAACTTTCCTCTATTACTTATTTGCAAATGCGATATGATTTTTAAAGAAAATGGGTGATTACTATCAAACTGGATTAACAACTGTCACTCTTGACCAACAGGTTAGTTATTATTTTCTTTATCCGATTTTCTGGTGTTATTCTACTTTTATCTTAATAATGCTACTATGAATTTGATCAGTTAGATTGAAATTTTTGAAACCTTACGTTTTATTTATTTCCGTTTTATTTATGTTTTTCACTGGAAATTATTTCTTTTTAATGAAATTATTCACTATTTTGGCCAAAAACATTGGATAAAAATAGATTGTTTTATTGCACTGAAATTATTGCACCTTTGGTGCCTTTTTTGTATAGGTGAAATTTCGATTAATTAAGGAGCTCATCACTAACAGTCAAAATTCTTTCCTAAATCGTGGTTTTCATGTCTTTCCAGTACCATCTTCTTTTGTATTTTATTTTTTATTATTTATTATTTTATATTTTATCATTTATTGTTTTATTATTTATTGTTTATTTATGATTTGACTGAAGCATATCCCTTGAATGAATTGAGAAGTAATTAAATTTGCTTAAACCGATAAGCCGAAATTTTTATCAGAAATTGAATACGGTGGTTTTACCACTAAACTTGTTGACTTTTTCTTTATTTGATTTTTAAAGTTTTCTTGGTTTTTACTTGATTTTTATACTGCTGATTTAATTTTAGTGTTTAATATTAATTTAATTTATTCATCTGAAGAAGAATTATTCATTTTTCCTTTTCTTTCCATTTCTTGTCTTTCATTAAATTTGCATAAAATGAAATAAAATGGCTCTCGCCTACTGTTTCTGATTATGCCTACTTTATTAATATCGTTATTTATATTATTTATATTTATTAATATCGTTAGAATATACTCTACTATACTCACATATAGAATACACTTTCCTCGGCTATACTGCTGCTTTGTCGTAATCGATGCTATGAAATTATTTACTAATTAGATTCTGATTACTTTTCGTCTATTTTTATAGGTTTATTGAAACTTTGGTTTTATAGAAAGCTTTTAATTTTAGAATTTTTCCTTCATGGTTTGTTTTTCAAGCTAGGAAAATTGGGAAATTATTTGGGATCTTTAATCAATCGCGAACAAAAATTTTTCATGCTCATTATTTTTTCAGCTGTGAAACAGTTTGACAGATATGTCAATTTTCTTAAAAATAATCATGTGGTTAAATAAGATTTCTGTCGGCTATTTCATTCATAATAGTGCTTTTTTTCCAGCGTTTCAGCTTAGGCTTTCTCCTCACTGGCAATTAAACATTTGTGGCAGAAAGTTATTTTGAAACAGAATTAAGAGGTTCACATTCCACGACTTTTTAAATGGCAGGTTTACTATTTCCGGAAATCGAATCTGGGCATGATTGAAATGGTAGTCTAAGCAAGATACCATTCGTATTTTCTACGAAGTTACTGCGAAGTTTTCTTTTAAAAAAAATTTCCAAATGAATTACTGATAAGAATGGCCAAATGATGCCTTTATTAATCTAATAAAAGATGCGATTAATAGTATAATTAATTAATTTTTTTCAACCTTAGGAAAGCGATTAACGTGAAGCTCGAAATTTTTTGTTATTCGTTGTTTATTTTGCGGAATCAGTTGGGATCAAAACGAATATTTAAATTCGTGGCAGTAAAAAGCATCAGGTGGTGTGTGTGTGTGTGTGTTATTCGTTGTTAATTCTCGCTTTATTCAATTAATTTTTCGTTTACTGAGTTATTTCTTTTCAAGCATCGGTTGTGAAATGGATTCAGTCGTTTATCAAAATATTTTATTGGCCTTGCTTATTGGATCATTCCTGTTATTTGCACTATTTGTACTCTGTGCATCTGCTTTCAGTGATCTGAATTTGTGCTGCCAGGATCACCCTTATTTACATCGTCGTGGAGAAGCGGATCAAATCATGACTGGATGTACAATGCTAGAAAAATACAGATGGGCTTCCGGAAATAAACTAGTTTGCGGTCTGTGTTCGCAGAAATCCGCATTATTAAGTAGTTTGCAAAATAATAGTGATTGTCGACTGACAATTTCTGAAAATGGGCAAATGCCTGTGCCTGTGCAAAATTCACTGAATAAAGCAGATTCATTTGAATTGCAAGATCGGAAAATGCTTGCCTTTCATATCACCGTCGAAACGGGTAATGTTCATAACAATTTCTATTTAAAAATACGCTTAATTTGTTTCTTTACTTATTTGCTTATTTATTTAAGGAAAGGCTACGTATAAGAAACTCCAATATTTTTTCATGTCTAATGCTTGTAAATTTAATTCTTAAACAATACATCTATATAAATAATATTCACTATTATTTGTGTTTCGCCAGTTCTCGATACATCATTTAAATTAAGTCGTCTCCTTCGCTGATTCGCTGATTTTTTGAAAAAATTTGATATTTGTAATTTCGTAATTTTTTGAATCTTTTTATGGTATAATTTATCTAATTTTTTCTGTGTTCTTTGGCGGATTTAGAATGTTTTTGGATTATTTATTTTTTAATCTAATAATAATTGTTCTTTTCCCGGAAAAATTCTCGTGATTTCTTGATTTCTTTTCAGCCAGTGTGTTGCTTATAAATATTTTTGAATTTTTCCAACGTTATAGCGGTTTCTTGCCACGATAAAGAAGGTCTTTCCTCGTTTCAGAATTAAACCAATCTTGATTCGGTTCCAGCATAACGATAATAAACTTTTCATTAACAGTGAAGTCGTCTCACCTGGCGATCCACCTATAATTCCCACCCAATAATTTGGCTAATAAAATTGTTTTAACGATAAAAAATAATTAGCATGGAAATGCTAATTTTGTATACAATATCTTTTGAGAGCTTCAACCTAAAATCAAGATATTTTGGCATAGATCTTTTGGAAAATCAAATTAGTAAGAATTTACATGCCAGGCTGATGTAATGTTTTATGTTCAATTGATCATTTGCCAAAGATATTAATTATTGTTTATTAATTATAATATTAATAAACAATAATAATAATGATAATAATAGAAATAATAGTAATAAAATAATAATAATAATCGTCTTTACTTAATTAAAATATTACGCAGTCAAAATCGTAAATATCTGAATGCTAATTGACTCAAGTTTCTTCGGGAAATTGTTAACGGGAAGCCGTCTTTATAAAGTTCAAAATTCTGAACTTCGGTTTATTATGGAATGAATCTTATGGAATGAAATTCTTTGATGTTTAGGCAATATAAATTCATATTTATTTTATAAAATGTGAAAGATCAAGAAGATGATAGAATCTTTGAATCTTGGAATTTATTTTTCTTTTGTTGAATTTCATATCGTTTTCTTAATTTTCGGTGGTAATTTCTCAGTGCTATAAATTCCTATATTTTTATTCTTTTTTGATGCGAATGTTATGACTTCTTGATAAATAACGTAAATCATCACGTTGTCTATAAACTAAATTCATATTTATTTTATAAAATGTGAAAGATCAAGAAGATGATAGAATCTTTGAATCTTGGAATTTATTTTTCTTTTGTTGAATTTCATATCGTTTTCTTAATTTTCGGTGGTAATTTCTCAGTGCTATAAATTCCACATTAGCAACGCAACTTTTCCTTCCTTTCGGAATTTCAAGAAAGTTTTTGGAAAAAGCCATTTCTAGTGTAATAAGCAGATTTTATAGTGCATCAGCAAACATTATTGTTAAAATGCAGAGTTTCGATAGCCTTCGACAGAATTAAAGCTGACATTAAAAATCCAATCGGTGCTGGTCTTCCAACCATATTTCTATTACCAAATAACTTTAAGGCGAAAATTTCTAACTGCCCATTCGGAAATGAAAGAGCACCAATCACTCATTTATTCACTTATTCAGATTCAATGTTTCAATATTAAGAAATGAGGCAATTACCGATTAATAAAGTTTCAGCTAATTTTAGAAATATTTTTAACTTTCATGATATAATTCTGCTTTTTTCATTTGTTTTTGTTTGGTTTCGAGTATTTAGATAGCTGCTTTCACATTTATTCATTGCATTTAGTTTATTTTATCGCATAAGTCTCCATAATTTTGGGCTCTTTTCCATGATCTTTCAACGAGAAGAGGAAATTTGTTTCAGTCGAAAAAAATTAAGCATAGATATTTATTGAAATTAAGGCGTCTACTAATCATTTTATTTAAATGGTTTTATCGCGAATTTGTATTTGTCTTTCTTTCAGTATTTTTTATTATTGGAACACATATAGCTGACCACCTATGTGGGTGATACGAATCTTGAATACCTCGACTCCATTCTGTTATTTACTTCAGTATTACTGTATTGCATGTTGTATAGGGTAGGACTCTTAGTGGTCGAAAATCTGCAATAAATCCATCAAATATGTCTAAATATCGCAAGCTAATCGGAATAAAATATAAATATCGAGAGGTTTCTGTTAAGGAATAGTTATCCCCAAAATCAGATAAAAAGGATAATTCAAAAAAATTCTGAAATATTAAATTTATCGTATTTGCATCAGTTATTACCTTCTGGAATATTGCAGAACCCTTTATTTATACTTTATGCTTTTGCATGTTAAGAAGTTTTATTCTTATTTTTGTTTTCGAATATGAATTTTTCTTGGATTTTTTCTTCTTGAATTGCAAATTAAACTCGCAACGAAAGTTAGATTTTGTAAAAAATGGTTTAGATCCAATTTAATTAGATCCAGTTGTATGCCCATTTAGATTCATTCTTATGATAAATAATTAATGATGATTTTAAAACAGAACAGTTTTGTTCCAAGTGTGTTATAGTCTTTAGTTATTTTAGCTGTATGATCGTATATCGAATTTATCCGTACAACCAGCCGCTCTGGAAGATGATGTTGTGTGCCATTCCAAAGAGGTTAGCAAGCTGATTTATTGCTTACAATTATAAGTTAATTTATTACAATGGTCAAAAAATTTATGCGAAATTCGCTTTTCACGACACTTTAATAAAAATAAAATTTTTTTAAATTATCTTAAGTTAATTGCCGATTTATTGTTTGTGCTAATTCATATATTTTTGGCCAATTTTTTAAAATCGTTTTATTCCACTTTATTTTTTTATTCAAATTAATTTAAAAGGTTTTTGTTCCAAATTTTATTTTTATTTTATATTCTTTCTTCTTCTTCTTCTAACAGCTCTCATCATTACTGGTTAGGCTGGCTCCGAGGGCTACAAGGGAAAGACGCTTTCAAGCGGCGCGGTCTCATGCCATCGTCGACAGTAATGGAAGCCATTCCTTTTTCCATCGTCTAAGTCCATATACTGCTGGTTCACCTATACGTTCAAAATCTTTTCTCACCGTATCAATCCAGGTCT